AAATTGGATGACTGGATACAATGGACAAATTCTTAGAAACACCAACACTCAAAAAACCTGTTCCCATTAAGTCAATTCCAACTCATAGCAACCCTATGTTGTTGTTGTTGTTGTTGTTAAGTGCTGTCGAGACGGAGGTGACTCATAGTGACCCTATGAACGAAAGACCTAAACATTTGTATAACTTTCATTATTTCTCCAAGTTCATAGAGTTTCTGGAGGCAAGCTATATCAGAAGTTGATGCCACTCCTGCTTCCAAGTTTGTTTTAATTGGGAAGCTCCACTAAACACCGTCCATCACTGGTAACCGTTATTACATTTGACACATCAGTGTCACAGTGTTTAGCATCATAGCAACCACAAGTTATCTCTGTACAGAAATGCACAGACCAGTGCTAGACCACTTAGAAGAATGTTTGACCAGAAACAATTAAAACCAGGCCTGAGGGCCACAGATTAAAATCACCCACCTTTGGCTTGGTAGCATCACTTTCTATCCACTAGGCCAAAAGAGCTCTCTTGTTGTTGTTAGCAACTTTATAGAAGAGCAACCCTATAGGACAGAGTAAAACTACAGAACTTCTAAGGCTATAATCTTTGCAAACACAGACAGCTGTCCTTTCTCCCAGGGAACAGAGGGTGGATTAGAACTGTTGACTTTTTAGTTAGTAACTGAGCACTTAAACACTGTGCTACCAATGCTCCTTTCCTTTAGTATATTAGACTATCAAACGGATTTAAAAAGAAACCAAAATCTAAATAAACCTATAGTATATACAGAGATTTAATTAGTAGTCAAACCTTTCAGCAAAGAAAAGCCCAGGGGTAGATGGCTTTAAAAGGGGATTCTACCAAACATCTAAAGAGGAATAAAACACCAATTCTCCTAAAACAAAAAAAAAAAATAGAAGAAAAGAACATTTCATAACTCATTCTAGGAGGCTATTATTACCTTAATACCAAAGGGGGGGAAATCTCCTATGAATATGATATAAAAATCCTTGACAAAATATGAGTAGTCAGTGCAATAAAGATCTCACATCATGATCAAGTAGTGTTTATCAAAGAATTCAACACATGGCAATCAATCAACATAATATATCACATTAATCGCCTGAAGGCGGAATAGAACTACATGCTCATCTCAACTGATGTAGGATAAAAGCATTTGGCAAGATCCAAAGTTCCTTCATTATGCAAATAGCAAATAAATTCAAGATAGAAGGAAATTTCTTCGACATGATAAAGTCCATAAATGAAATTAAAAAAACCAAACCAGAAGCACTCACAGCTAACATCCTCACTGATAAATCATGAAAATCTTTCCCCCTTAGATAAGGAACAAGACAAGGGTATCTATTTTCCTCAGATCTATTCAACACACTACTCAAAATTCCGGCCAAAGCAATGGACAAGAAAAAAAGGTGCCCAAATTGAAAAGGAAGATGTAAAATTATATGTCTTGCAAATGATATAATTTTATGCAGAGAATTCTAAAACATACACACAAACACACAAAGTTAGAGCTATTAGTTGAATTAATCAATTATTCATTTTGATTACTTTGTATCATACAATGTCGACAAATAAAAAAGTTGTAATTTCCATAGAGCAGCAATGAACAAACAAAAAAGGAAATCAAGAAAACAATTTCATT